TGGGAAGCAGTTATCCTTTCAGAAGGATAATAACTCAGGAATAAGTCTCTTGGAAGCATCATTAAAACATTCAAGAAGAGAACTTAATTGGGCTTACAAAGTAAATATTTCCAAGGTGAACAAGTTTCCCTTTATGTGTGCCCTATATTCATTTTCCAGGAAAAATTTTTCATTGTAACGACTTCTCTCAACTGGCATGTTAGCTATTTATGTCACTTTACATTTCCCATTATGAAGAAAAAGAAAGAAAAGTAAATCTACTGTACAAGAGGGACTCTTTCCAAGCAGCACAAATTCCTTCAGCGCATTACCAAAGAGATGATTTCCCTCTTCCTCTTCCCTACCAACTGAAATGTCATTCACTTCCTGTCAAACATAACACCAAATTAAAAGGATTCACTGGTAGCAGGCATCTACCAAGGGTCCATTCGTTCATCACGTCAACATACCAAAAGCCATGCAAACTCTCTGTGTCTTCGTTCCATGCATCCTGGCATGCTCCTTCCTGGTCCAGACCAATCCCATCAAGTCCTTCCCAGAGGCCTTGGTTATGGCCATCATGCAAAGGAGCTTTCTCTTTCTCCAAACATGAGACGCTGTGTCATTTGAGAGGGATAGCAAGCAAAGTATCTAACGAAGGGCAGTAGGAGAGAATTCGCATGCTGAGGTGTTCAGGTGGCTGGTGAGACCTGTACCAGTCTACCCCCTGCCCCTCAAGAGGGAAGGATGCAATGTCTGTCTGGGGGTTTCAGCAGCCAATACTTTGAAAGCCGTTCATGAGGCCCAAAAAGCCCCAAACCAAACTCCCTGCTATCAAGTGGATTCTGGCTCATAGCAACCCTACATGACAGAGAAGAACTGCTCCTGTAAGTTCCCGAAACGAATTCCGAAAGTAGAAAGCCTCATCTTTCCCTTTCAGAGTAGCTGGTGATTTCAAACTGCTGACCTTGCGGTCAGCAGCCCAGTGCAAAAATTACTACACCACCACCTCTTATGAATTCCTTGTTTATATTTCACTGATTCTATATTTACATTTCAAAGTTTTTTTAAAAATCTTTCCTTCCCACCCAGTGGATTCTGACACATGGCAGCCCTGCAGGACAGAGTAGAACCGCCCCTTCCTCGGGTCTCTCACTCTTTCACATCTTTGTGGGCGCAGACAGCCTCGTCTTTCTCCCGCGGAGTAGCTGGTTGAGTCCAACTGCTGACCTCCCAGCAGTTCCGTGTGTAGCCCACTACACCACGAAGGCTCCTTAGCTGCAGTAGAATCAAAACACAGCAAATTCATTTACATAAAAGTAACAAATGCTTACTTAGCAGAGTACTGTGTGTCTTTGCTGCTAGGTCAGTCTTATACTGACTGCCCATTCACGGGCAGGCACAAACCTAACAGTACGCTAATTGCATGAGCCATAACTAGAGCAATGCCTAAAACTGCCACTTGAGAAAATCAGAGATACATCTTCAGCCTTCACCCAGAGCTCATTCACTAGTACTTGTGTGTGCAAGAAAGCATCTGGTTATCAACTTGGTTATAAATTGGTTAAGATAAAGTTTCTGGTTTTATAAACCTAGTTATCAGTAGGTTAATGTTGAGGCGAGATTTACTGCTTGAAGTACTATTGAGAATTGAAAACAATGGAGAATGACTGGGTCCCCAAAAAACAAGAAAGGACAAAGTCTAGGGGTCACTCAATGTGAAAGGCAAGTGTCCAGTTGAACTCCAGAATGGCTCGGCAGCTCTCTGTGCACCAAGTTCAATAACCCATCTGCGTCAAGAGGGCTCACTTTTGAATAGTAAAGCCCTAGCAAATGAGGCCCTCCATATTAAATATACCTTAGAAATTTACATTGAAAAAGAGAAAAGAAAGCATTAGCATTTACAAGACTAAGCTTCAACGATTAACTAACTAAATCTGATTTGAATGAAAGCTGATTGTGCTTCAGCCATATTTTGAGTGATGATGATGATGATGATGATGATGATTATAAATACCAGTAGGACTGAATGTGGAATTGAACACATATCTGGATTTATAGAATTTATACGCATGAACTTAGATGGCACACACAGACATGTACATGCCCACAAACACTTATTCCTGGAAGACCGAGCAGAAGACATCTAACAGGCCTGGGCTAAGGAGGAAGAAACCAGGTCACCCCATGCCCTCCCTTCCCACGTAAGACACTTAAACACGAAACAGACCTTGGGTACATGAATGACACATGCAGAGACCGGAGAGCACTCCGAGGGGAACAGTACTCAAATATGGCTGAAAGTACATTTTCAAAGAGCATAAGAGTGACAAAAATGGAAAATGTTCATCCAAAAACCCAACATGAACAGTTGAAACAATATAGTCCAGTCCATTGGTTTTTTTTAACATTTGGAGAAACCCGTCGAACCAAACCCGTTGCAACCGATGGCGGCCTCTGTACAACAGAAGGGAACGCCGCTGGTCCTGCGCCCTCCTCCCAACTGCTGAGATGCTTGAGCTCGTGGTGACGGCCGCTGTGTCAATCCAGCTTGTCGGGGCTCCTCCCTTCCACCGGCCCTCTCCTTTGTCTGACGTCGTTTCCAGGGACTATTCTTCCCAGAGACTAGGAGCCCTGCTGGGGCAGCGGTCACTTGTTGGGCTGCTAACTGCACAGTCAGCAGTTCTAAACCACCAGCTGCTCCGGGGGACAAAGGCAACAGGGCTTTCTACTCCCGTAGAGAGTTAGTCTCAGAAATCCACAGGGGAAGTTCCACCCTCTCTTAGAGGGTTACTTCGAGTCAGAATCGAATTGATGACAGTGGGTTTTTTGAGTATCCTCTCCTGACATGTCCAAAGCACAGGAGATGAAGTCTCACCATCCTCACTTCTAAGGAGCATTCTGGCTGTACTTCTCCCAAGACAGATTTGTTTGTCCTTCTGGCTGTCCATGGTACTTTCACTGTTCTTCACCAGCACCATACTTCAAATGCATGGATTCTTCTCTGGTCTTCCTTATTTATGGTCCAGCTTCCACGTGCCTCTCTTCCCTACCCCTGTCCGAATCGAGTTCCTCCTTCCGCATCTAGCTCACGCCTCACCTTCTCCAGTCCACGTTTCCCGGCCCTTCTACCTCTTATATAGTCTCCAACCGTATTTAGTATACCACACGTTTGGCTCAATCAGCATCTTAATGTGTTATCTGCACTTGTGGGTGTCCTCTGCCCCTGTCCTCCAATCTATACTCACCAGGGACTCCACAATCCAGCAATGAGGGGCTTATTGTCCCACTGCAAGGAGGGGGACTGCAGAACAGAGTACATGTGGGGCATCTCACTAATGTGAAAGAATTATGAGAGGGCTTGGGGGAAGGGTGGACTTTGGGTACAATTCAAATGATTAGGTTCAGACCAAGGTGGTCTGTGTACAAAGGGATTGGCATCAAATCTGAACTGAGGAGGCCCAGGGTCTGGTCTCCTCAAAACCAATGCATTGGGACCAAAGTGGCATGTTGGTGCGCAGAACTCCTTGTCTGCTGCTCTGTCAAGTGGCTTAGATCCTTCAGGCCAGAGTGGGATGTTTGATAGCATTTCAATCAGCAAAGTCTCTGAGAGTCTCTGATTTAAAAAAACACAAAGTTTCTCAGTGAGTAAGAAAGAGGCAGTCACAAAAGGTTGACTACAGCGTGCAACAGGGGCAGCACGGCTTTGGAAGAACCCTGGGGAAAATTCCCGGGCCCTTTGCAGCTGCTTTTACCTGTGTCTCTCAGTTCTGCTAACGAACGGCAGGGCAGATCCACGCGAATGTTTGCTTCTTTCACTCCACAACAAGCCAGACCAAAGTCACGGCCATCAAGGCGATGCAGACTCATGGAGACCCTATAGGACAGGGTAGTACTGCCCCTGTGAGTTCCTAAGACTGTAACTCTTTGGGGGAGTAGAAAGCCTCATCTTTCTTCCGTGGAGTGATTGGTGGTTTTGAACTGCTGACCTTGCAGTTAGCAACCCAACGTATAACCACTATGACACCAGATCTCCTCACACAACAAGCCAGACAGTAGTCTTTAAAGGCCAGAACCCAGTACCTTTTTGTTTGTTTCCTGTATAAAAATTGCTATGCGTCGGAATCAACCTCATAGAGCAGCAGTTCTCAACCTTCCTAATGCCGCGACCCTTTCATACAGTTCCTCATGTTGTGGTGACTCCCCAACCATAAAATTATTTTCGTTGCTATTTCAGAACTGTAATTTTGCTACTGTTATAAATTGTCATGTCAATGATATGCAGGATGTATTTTCATTGTTACAAATTGAACATAATTAAAGCATAGTGATTAATCACACAAAAATATGTAATTATATATTGTGAAATATTTATTTCTAATGACAAATAAATGAAATATTGTCTTGAAGCATGGTGTAGCATGGGTAACAGTCTTCACGCTGAGTACTCATATGTGGGCATATTTGCATGTGGGCGGACCTGCCTGGAGACGGATCGAGGAGCGATGTCTCGGTTCCTAAGACCATCAGAAATAAGTGTTTTCTGATAGTCTTGGAGGCGACCCCTGTGAAAGGGTCATTTGACAGCCCCAAAAGGGTCGCGATCCACAGGTTGAGAACCCTGTGACATAGAGTGTCTAGTTGGTTTTCTATAAAAGAGTGTGGTGCTGAGCACAGAGCTGATGGATGCGACACTCCCGTCTGCTGGCTATAGCCGAGATCAGAGTATGGTGGAGCTCTATAGACAACCACAGCCACAGATCTAAACCTGAAGCCAAACCCACTGCCATCAAGTCAATTCCAACTCATGGCATCCCGAAGTAGGGCTTCCGAGACTAAATCTTATCGGGACAGACAGATTCATCTTTCTCCCAAGGAGTGACTAATAGGTTTATATTACCAACCTTGCCATTAGCATCCCAACACCTGAAACACAGAGCTACCTGACTCCTTAATCACAGCTCCTGGGTCAGAATGACACAGCGATATAGTCATGTGTGTGAGAGAGGCAGATTTCTCACCTACAACACCAAAAGCTGTAACGGCTCGAAATAAGCCCGAAGATCCTTTCTGTCCCATCTTGGTTCTGTTTCCTAGATCCAAGCGGCCAAGAAGTTCTTTCACTTCCTGCTGAGTATATACATGCTGGAAAGAAGCAAATTTCATCAGCCAGGTTCATAAACTCATTATTTATTAAATTCCCCTAAAAAGTAAGTCACTTCCAAGGATCACTTGTTCTTCACAGTGAAGTATATAACAGTGTATGATTAAGCCACAATTTTTAAAAGCTAACAAATTCTTTAAAATGAGCAATAAAAGTAGATTATTTGATCACTCGTTGTTGCTTATAAAAAATGGGTCAAGAGCTTATCAGCTAAATCAGGGTTTCACAAAGCAGACAATACTGCCCCCTGGGGCTGCCAGAGCAGACACTTACACTTTATCCCAGATTATGGGTTATACTGCAAAAGTTTTTAATTGCCACAGGGGAGCTAATTTTTTTTTTTTTTCTCAAAAAGGGGGAAGTAGGCAAATACGTTTCGGAACCTATGCTCGTGTCTAAACAAAGATCAAGAAGAACTTTATAGGTCCACAGGTAAATTTCAAGAAGTCTACAACCCTCTTTAAAGAGTATACAACAATGTAGGCATACAGGCAAATATACATACAATTGCATGGGAATTTCCATAGATTTTTATGAGGATCCCTTAGACTCTCAAAGGGGTCCCTAACCAACCACTCCTCCCCACAAATACAGCCAGGAACTAGTGCACGGTTCTAAGAGGGTGGGAAAACACGAGACAGTTTATCTAGGATGACTCTAACACAGGTAATGGCTTTGCATAGAGCTTGGTGGACTGGGTCCCACACCACAGCTTAAATGCACCTGAGAAACCAGGCATGTGCACAGATGCAGAGACGGTCTTAGACAGGAACCTCCATGGGAAAGGTATCTTATGTTCTTTCATTTAAAAGAATTCCATGCTTTTATTTAGTCATCCTGGGACTGGAGGGGAGGGGGCGTACTTCAAAACATCTGTGGGAGTAAGGGGGGGAGAGGGGAAGGGGGAACTGATAGCAATGATGCCTGTAATTACAGAATTATAGGTGAGCGGATAGATTGGATGGTGTAAGACATGGATAATGATAGTAATAATGTATAACATATAACAATAAGGGCTCCTGGAAGGTAGGGTTGGGGAGGGAGGGGATAACAGGGAGCTGATGCTAAGGAGTTCAAGAAAAATGAAAATCTTTTGAATCTGATGGTGGCAAAAATTGTATAGGCATGCTTGATCTAATTTGAATTACAAATTGTTATAACATCTGTAAGAGCTCCAAATAAAATGATTTAAAAAAAACACATCTGTGGGAAAATGGAATGAAAAGATCATAGAATGTTTTAAAGCCCCTTCCTTTATAATAAAAATAAATAAGTCGATAAATGTTATATGTGTGTGTGTGTACTTGCTATAACAATACCGTTCTAAAAATAAGCCAAGAATTATCTCTGTTTCCCAGTTAGTTCACAGCTTCAGAGCAAGCTCAGGCCCTCGGTGCCAGATTCAAATTTGTATCAAAACTCTCAAATTCAATGCCATCAAGTCGATTCCAACTCACAGTGACCCTGCAGGGCAGGGTAAAACTGTCTTGGTGGGTTTCTAAGACTGTAGACAGCTTCTTTCTCCCGCAGAGCAGCTGGTGGTTTCTAATTGCTACCCTTGCAGTTGGCATCCCAACACATAACCAACTATGCCATGAGGGCTTCAGATTTGTACTCACGATCGTTTTTAAAATAATCCAGAAAAGCAAGTTTGGGGCAACTTAGAGCCTGCCTGCTTTACACACCTCACAAAACTGCACCCAACCTGTGCCAGCCATATTGTCTTCAGGGGCCAGCAAGTGGCTTCTGACTCATAGCGACCCTAAGCCACAGAATGGAACACTGCTCAGGCCTGCATCGTCCCACAATTGCGAGCCCACAGTTGCAGCCACCGAGTGAGTCTATCTTGTCAAAGGTCTTACTCTTTTGTTCACCGCCCTTCTCCTTTACCAAGCACGATGTCTTTGCCAGGGACTGGTCTCTCCTGATAACAAAGTACTGAGACGAAATCTCACCATCCTAACTTCCAAGGAGCATTCTGGCTGTACGCCTTCCAGCTGAAGTGTTCGAGTCTGTGGCATGATATTGACAATGGTGGGTAACCAACACCACTATCTCTTTCCAAAATGTAGTCCTCATCCCAAACAGAAACTCTGTACTCATTAACTAATAAGGTCCCTTCTTCCCTTCCCGTCAGCCCCTGGTAGTTTTTAATCAACTGCCTGCCTCTACAAATTGCCTATTCTAGAATATTTTCACTTTTTTGTCCGCCTTATTTCACTTGGCATAATTTCCAAAGTCCATCCACATTGTAACATGTGCTGGCATACTTATGAACGTCAGTCATTTCAGGAACCTTGATCAGAGATGAGGAATTCCTGCTGATGGAGTGGGTCACTGCTGGGCTGCTAAGTAGAGGTCAGCAGTGCGAAACAAGCAACCTCTCTGCAGGAGAGAGACCAGGCTTTCTCTTCCGGTCAGATTTGCCTTCGCAGAAACCCCCAGAGGCAGTTCTGCCCTGTCCTATAGGGTCACTATGAATCAGAACCAGCCTGATGGCAATAGGCTTGCTTGTTTGTTTTTATTAGAAATTAAATTCTAGCCAATAAAGAAAAAACAATCATAATTTATAGGTGCATAATAACAAAGACCTATCACTAGATGCTGATAGGACATTTCAGATTCTCTTCATCAACTGGCATAGACATTTATTCCTTACATAATGACGATACTTACCCTATCATCAATTACAACCAAATCTCTCGGTTCTGTTCTATCAATTTTCAAGACTCGATGTTTTGTCTCTGCATGATTGCTCCCAACTAGAAAATATCTCTATAAAGAAAAAGGAATGTTGTTAGTTTCTCAAGCATTTTGTCTTCTACATATTTTAGAATCATTTCAGTTTTTTTAATGAAATACATTAATATATTCAGGAAACATCAAAAGAACTGTTTCTGTGAACTGTAATTGGCAGATAAAACAAAAGCTGTAAAATTACTCCAAAGGTCAATTTTCAAATAGAAATATTCTTAATAGTGTCAAGATAAGCATCAGCCTGGTTCCTGAAATGTGCCCAGTAACCAGGTCAGGTGAATTTAATTACATTATATAATTAGAGATTAGCGTAACTGATTGGGGGCTGACATTTAAACTTCGCCGAAAGCCACAGCTCTAGTAAGAAGTAGAAAGCCTACCATATAATTATGAATGCAGAGACAATTACAGCTACTAAAATGCTGATACATTACCAAATACATCTTTACCGATTTGCTAAAGACTTTGATGGAAACGACTGTAACGTAGCAAAAGACTCTACCCAAAAGTCCTATGGAAGAATAAAGTGGGCGTACTTTCCAGAACTGCTTTTAATAAAATTCACTGAGCAATGAATTAGTATTCCTTCTTTTCTCCAACCCTTCCTAGGAGCGTGCTACCTGAATGCAGGGCATTTGTCTCCTTAAATGAGACGGAGAATGAGACAACTAAGTGAAATGTAGGGAAATAATAATCTCCTATGGAAGTGAAAATGTTCTTTAGAAAAATGGATACATCTTTAAGTATGGTTCCAAATTAAGTAACACTTTTTCTGAAAAAATAGTTGGAGGCATTTTACTGCAAAACAGTCCTTTGGGGGCGGGGGCGAGGGGGGATGAGCCTTTTCCAACACGTACAAGACTCTGCTATAATCAACTGGCATTTTGACCATCTCATGGTTGGATAAGCTATAGACACACAAAGCAATTTAATATCAACACAAGGCTTTCTAAACCAATGGTCCAACGTGAGAAACCAGGGGAAGAAATGATGACTGGGAACTACTCTACCTGCATAAACTCCCAGAAAAGGCGGGGCTTGAACGGAACCTGGAAGAACGGGTAGGGTTTGAAAAAGTTCCCATTAAAACGTGAACACTTGGTTTTGTTTTCACTCTAAACTGGGGGCAACTGGTGGATGCTCTTTTTATTGTCATTAAGTATACATCTGCTTCTAAAGCTCGGCGCGAGACTCCTGAAGTACAGGCAGTACAAAACTCAGAGAGGAGCTTCACAAAGTTCCTGGACCGAGGGAATTAAGAGGTGTTGGCACCTTGGACCTGGTCAAAGGTTAGCCC